GTTGTGGGTGCCGCGAAACGACTTACATCACGTCTCTCTCGATGTGGGTACCGCGAAACCCTGGTAGACCCTGGTAGACTCTGGTAGACCCTGGTAGACCCTAGACCCTGGTAGACCCTAGACCCTGGTAGAAACTAGTAGAAAGTGAATTATTTTGTAACTCAGTGTTTTTGAATTATTTTGTAATTCATTTACGTCATGGTCTCCAATATTTATCTGTCTAAGAATTGCTTTGCTTCTTTTTTCATGATAATCCATATTTATCATCATTCGAAACAACTTATCTATCAAAGGTTTTGTTTTATCCAAGTCATAGACTATCAATACTTGAGGTGTGAGTGTGTGAGTGTTCTCTTCAACCACACCCTCAAGATAAACAGACAAAAAGATTACAGTGCACTGAAAAAATTATAGAAATCTATGAATATTGTGAAGACAGTGCTCAATTGAATGTAAAATGTATTCATTAGAAAAATAAAGCAAAAGTTGTGAAAAACTTGCAAACTGATGTTGTAATTGTGCTTTTTTGTCATATAACAAACGAGCAAAGGACGGTTAAAAAGACTAGTCTCATATCTAGTCCTGACGGCACGTCCGGTATAGTCTTTTTCTCAAAACGGACTACTACATGACTAGTCTGGAAAAAGTTGCCGTCCATAGTACCCGTCCAGACTATGTAATTGACGGGCGTCATTGGCTCTGACAAGTCTAGTCGGTTGCGCTAAAAAGACCCGTCTAGGACTAGTAAAGAGTCACTAATAGGTGGACTAGTCATGTAGGAGGAGTTTTTGAGAAAAAGACTAGTCAGGACGGGTAACAGCGACGCCCGTCCGAAATGGATTTAAAATTGAAAAAGTAAGGATGTCAGGGACGAGTACATAGGGCAAGTTGTAGTCTTGTGTAGTGGACGAGTCCGGACTAGTCTAAATGAAAATGTGTAAAGATGAAGGTTAGATTCGAACATGCATACAATGTATCACTTACCCATCGTTTATACCATTGAGCCATATGATCAACAAATCAACTTCTACATGTTCATAACCATTCTAAGATGCTATTTAATATAGTTTTACTCAAAGATTTTTATGTTCGCATTTAAATAAAAAATTATCTTTTACAGAATACGAGATTATTTAGA